AGTTTTCTTTTTGTTGTATTTTTTTATTTTTCGCATTTTCTGTGGAAAACAACAAAAGGGGCGAGAAAATATGAAAATTCGCCAGGAGCCTGTGTCTCGCAGCCTTGGAAATGGGAATCAGTTTCAACCCTTTCGGTGGTTAAGGAAACAACAGACCCAAAAAAAACCACCCACATCGTATTACTGGGTCAGGTTTTCCTGGGGCTACCCATTTTATTTTTTTCTGCCACTCGTTAACTGCCCAGCAGAACTCATTTCGTGTTGTTGTTTTTCGTCTTGCCACTGCAGCAGCATTAAATACACATATAATTTCGGCAAAAAGAGGGCAGGTGGGTGTGGTCATAAGCCAGGCGTATCTGATGTTGTTTTGGGAGTACATAAAAGTAGGCGAATGAACCAAGTCCCCAAAAAAAGGGTCAAGCCACATGTATTAAAGGACTTTTATGTCTGGATACCCTTTTTGGGCCAAGACCGAATCAGAGTTAAGTTGGTCTTATCATTTTGTTCCCATAAATTAAACAGACAATTAATTAGTTTAATGTGATTTTCCCATCCGAATATTCATTTAATATTAAATGTATTTTAAAACATTAACGTATTTCTTGTTATAATATTTCTCGCAATCATATTAACAACATTGTGCTGCTTTTGCGAAGCACTTTCAAAAGTTTTGCGTACATTTAATTATGTTTTGGGGATTACGCATACATTTTATAGCCCATGAAAATTTGTTGTACGACAAAACTCTAAATTAATTTTGCTGGCTTAACAAAATCTACGCCCACAATTGTGTATGTGTGTGTGTGTGTGTTTTTTGACCAGTTTGGATGGCCCCCATGGGTCATATTGAAACCCACCCACAAAACGCCCCACTTCTCAGCACACCTCTGAGCTGAAACTCATCCGACGTGCCATGAAATTTGTTTTCAATTAACAAATTATTTCGCAGCGCCGACAAAAAATCAATAACTAAGCCTTTTTCAACCTTCACCACCTCCTATTTGGCATAAAAATCTATGGTTTTTGGGAAAATTGATTCAAAGGTAATCATATCTTGCGTTTCTACACAAAGAGAAATAAATAAATTTAGTATCTGCCTGTAAACAAAATTTAAATTTAAAATCCCAAGTTTTTTATTAAATATTTATTTATCCCACAGTCTCCTGTCCTAAGAAAATTCTCCACTTTATTTCTCTGTAGATAAATTCCAAGCATTTCGCCTGCTTCGGATGTGGAAAATGCAGGAAAAAGGATGCAGGAAGCCAGCATCCTTTTCCTTTGTGCATTGCAAATTCTTACATGGTCAGAGCAAGTCAAGAAAAACGAAACTTTAGCCCTGCAAATCAAAAAGTTTTCAAGTTGTCGAGAGCATCTTGGCAGGCAACTTTCAACAGTTAACATGACAATGACGATTCTGAAAAACTTCGCACATCCGAGATGAGATAAAGTGCCCCCCAAACTCAGTCAAGTTCACATAGATATTACATGTACTGGATATTCATTAGGTTCGTCGAAACGATGACTTCTACTTGTGAATCAATAAATCAAAGCGTAGGCTGACAGCCAACAGCAAAAAAAAGTACTCATAAGCCGGTAAGATTTGTGACTCACCAGACACAAAGTTGAGATACGAAAAATAAAGGAAGATAGCGAAAAAAAAAAGCACAAAAACTCCCACATCGAAATCGAGGGGAAAAAAACGACTGCTTGGATTTGGCAAGACATCAAAATAATAGATAGACAGACAAATAAATAAATATAAATAAAAGCAGAGACCAAGTGGAAAATAGATAGATATATAAATTGAATTCATGACTTGCAGATATTGTATCTTTTATATGTACACTGCAAGGGGGCGTGGCACTGCAGTGGTGTCATCAAACTCTGTTGGCAGAAAAGAAGGCTGACTGAAAGCCACAAAAAGAAATAAGTATGACACTTAAAAGTACCTCGTAGATGTTTAAAATTATGTCTGGCTTTTAAGTTGGGATTGATGGTATTCAAAATAAATTTTAAACTATTTTTTTTGGATATCAAATATATCTCAGCAAATAGACAGCCTAATATACCCTTTACTAAAGGGTAAACAATGCTGCGGGCATTTTGTACCACATGGGGGCTTGAGAACAAAAAGGCAAACAAAAGCCATGTGATAGAGCAAAACAAGGTAAAAAGGCAAAGACATTGAAAAAATGGTTACATGAGAATGCGGCGGTTGGGGGGACGTCACTCAAGGGCTGAACTTTTAATTGCATTCGTACGTATCTGATGGATTCACTTTATAATATATCAAAATATATAAGGGTAAAAAGGAGACCCACGAAAACAAAGTGAAGCACTGCCCACACGCCTTTGTTATCTAAGCCAACTGATAACTGATAGACCATTATCAAGTTATAACACCGATGATTCATTTGTTGCCTTTGGACAACTCATCGTTTTTAGTGCGGTTCCTTCTAGTATATTTGTACAACCGAAATTAGGCGTTTAATAACTAATTGGGCTAGAAAATGTAAATAAATGCTTATCGGTCTAACGTCATCAAGAGTGTGGGTGGAAATTTAGAAGAAATAATTCTTATAATAATCCTTATAATGGCACCACCCTTTTTATCAGTGCATGCGCCTATGATAAATTAGAGAATCATTCGGGAACACAAAAGTATAAGGTCGCCGGGTGACAACGATGACTCAATTCAAAGCCTACATTCAGAGTTCAGAATCGGGGGAGGCGCGAACTCTCTGCATGTTCGACTCACATTAGAGGGGCGATTCAGCTCATTCAGAATACGCTGACAGGAAGTGATGGGGAAAACGAAACGAAATGAAATGATACATGATAAACGGCGTATAATGTAACGAAACTTTCACAGATGGATAATGCCTTCGAATTAAACACGCAACTGGCACGATATCGTGCTCTCTCCCTGGGGTCATCGTTTAAAAATAAGTTAAACAAAAGCCACATGAATGGAGTGATAGAGAACTGTGGGCCCCTTTAGAAATGGTCGAGTTTAACAAGTAAAATAAAGTTAAATCACGAACTACTAGAGAATTTTCGATAAGACCTTCTTTGTTTTGTACAATAATTGTTGAAATATTTCACAGCTGGCGATATTATAACAAGATAAATACTTGAGAAAGCTTTAAAAATACATACTTGCAAAACGTACTCAGAAACTGGGCTTCCACATATATTTTTTTCAACCCAAAAAATCCTATGAGATCATCAACGGAAAGATGTTTTCGTTATAAGTAACAAATAAAAAGACGAAATGAGAAAATAAGTGCCATAACTTTGTTTGAATTCATTTGTATGACGAAGCTGCAAAAATACACGAATGAGGCATCATTTGAATTAGAGCTTTATGCAGCATCCGTAATTTATGACAAATCGAGTGCAGTCACTTTAATTCACGTAAAATAAAACAATTAGCTAAGCTAACTGCTCAATCGTTTAATAATGTAATTAAGTAGAAAGAGAGAACTTTTTATAATTATTGTACTATAAATATTCATTAACTCGTCAATTGTCCATATCCCATTTAGTTTGAGAGAGTGTGTATTAATTAAACATTTTTTTTAATGACAGTAAGATGAAAAGAGCCGAACGACAGATAGCGAATGAAAGCTACGACGAGAAGAACAAATAGAACATGACATTCATATGAGAAATAGGAAAAAGTTGGCACTACTGTTAATTAAAAAAATGTTAACTATTGGAAATCGATGAGATTTTAAATCTTTTAGAGGATCTATTACCATAGAACTCTAACAATTGGAAATCATTGAGGAACCAAATCTTTTAGAGGATCTTTTATATGGTAATAGATCTCTGGACCACTACAACCTTGAATATCTATTCTTTACCCGAGTAGTTCCAAAGTTTTTTCATTATATTTTTAGTAGACGCTGATCTAAAATGGTTCAGAAATTTTTCAAGTACATTATACCCAAGTACCCCTCTCTATAGGGTATCGGCTATAATTAGCCTTTCTTTGTTTTGCTTCATTCGTTTGCCAAGATCTTGTTTGGCCGTCTCTTTATCGCTCCCTCTGTTTCGCTTTTCGCACTCTTGAAACTCGAAATGTCACAACACAAAGGGCACGAATTCATTAATAGAAGAGGGAGGAATTTGAAAAGGGGAGGAGATTGGGGTGTTCGGAGGACATTCGAGGACATGGAAACGCGACCTTCGGCGATTTTTCAATGCTGGCCAGTGCGACAAGTCACGAGGGAAACTTTGGCGTAGCGTAGAGAGAGTAATTGCGGGAATTGCCGATAAAAAGAATGCTAAATGTTGAATAATTATTGCGTATTACTCACCTCAGCGCGTGGGAATGGAGCATTGCAGCTGTTTTTTGTATTTCGCTGGAAGCTGGCGGTCTGGAAAACTGGAACCCGGCCTGGAACTTCCCATAGAAGACGAGAGGGCGTGGCAGGGCGGAGTCGCGTTTTTTTATTTTGATTTTTTTCGGGCTTTTTAGATTGCATTTTTGTGGTTTGAAATTAAATTGCAGTTTGATTGATTGACATAATACGAAGTCGTTTTACGTTTTATGTTTTTCGCAATTTTCGCTCGCTTTTCTTTTCACTAAAACGCGGTGTGTTAACTGGGTTTTTTGTTGTTGGTTGCATTTTTGTGGTGGAAACGTGCTGATTGTTGTTGTTGTTGCTGTTGTCGTTGCAGTTTTCGGGTTTTCTTTTTGCGCTCGTTCAAAAGATCAAAAGGTGAATTAACGAATAAAAAACGTGCACATAATGCAGGTCTGACATTTGCAGGTGGTAATTGTAATTTTAATACTAATCAAAATAGAAATTCACCAATTCGCGTGAGTTTGAGTTTGTATTGGTGCATATTAACAAAATAGCATTTCCTACTTAAAAGCGAAAGCATTTCTCCGTGTGTATCTTAATCACAATAATTCTCAAGAACTCATACACATTATTTATAAGTATTATATAATGATTTTGCATTGTCTGAATTATTGTACTACAAAATGTGTGTAGATAATGCAGATTATAGGCCTTGATGAGCATGCTACTTGCTTGCTTGGATTCTATGTGGTTTTTTAGTTCATTTGTGAGTGCAGAAAAGTTGATTGGTTTGAATTATTTTTGTTAAATTGATTTTTTTTACAGCCGCATGCCAGAGAATATTTTTTGTTGGGTTATGTATGAGGAATACATAGATATATTTGAATTTGCATTCCGATTGTTAGTTTTTGGGATGTGAGGGGGCGGTGGGGGGAGGAAAGAAAGGAAAAATAAATTAGGTTAATCAAGAAAGAAAAAGTATTAAAGAGTGTGTGTGTGTTTGTGAGTTGCGTGTGTGTGAGTGTGAGAAATGAAATCATAGCTAAAATCGAAATCCATTAATTTCTGTTAACTTTTCTGGCGATTACAAAACGAAAAACAACATACAAAACTTGTTTTTAGGGAAGTCAAATAACAAAAAAAACAACAAAAAAACTTGTCCAATTGTTTGCGCAACAAAGAAAGAAAAAAACTGAATAATCAACTTTAAATTTAACAGTTTACCGATTAATTTGAAGCTGTATATATATGCGAGTGTGTGATTGAATTGTTTACCCCTTTTAAAGTCAGCATTCCATCAACTTCCTCAACTTTTAGAGCTTCGGTTCGGTTGGGTTTTCATGTTTATTTCGTTTTCGCTTTATCATCTTCATTGAGAATGTCCGAGTTAGCTATTTATCTAGTTTTATATTTGTATAATATATATGCTGTGTGGTTTTTGTATAATTTATATATATATTATATGCATTCAATAAATATGAACATGTTAAGTAAATAGCATTATAGTAAATAGTCAATATAGTTATTATCTCGTATAATAAACAATCTTTTTATAATAAATATTCAAAAGTTAACTAGAGATTTGTTGCATCTTTCTCTTCCTCTTTTTCATCATCGGTGTGAGTGAGTGAGTGTGTGGGTGATGGGGCTACTTTAAGTGTGAGTTTTTAACAGGAGAAAACTAAACTAGTTGAACGAACAAAAAACTAAATGCATTTTCAAAGTTGGAAAAACGAGGAAATCAACAAGATTTTCATTCTCCTCTTCTTCCTGCAAAGCATTTGCAATGAGTGTAAGTGTGAGTTGGAGTGTTCCTTTCTTTTTTTATTATAATTCTCGTTTTTTTTGCTTCGCATTATAACAATAATCAATAAAATTTCATGTTTTCTTTTTTTGCAATTACTTTTCTTGTAGTTTTGTGTTTTTTTCTTCTCTTTACTCCTTCTCCTTCTCATTTTTATTTTTAATTTAATATATTTTCAATTAGCAATTTGTTGTTTACAAGTACTAAATATTCTGGTAGCTATAACTTGAGTTTCATGTGTGTGTGTGTATATAGGGATAGACTCTGGGGACTTGAGACTCTCGTTCTTACTAACCATACATGTTTTTCTCTATATATATTAGCTATAATTGGTGTAATCGAGCCCTAATTTCGTGTGCTTTTTTTTTTTTGTTATCGGGGGTTCACTGGTTGCGGTCTCTTACAGTTTAAGTTTCGATTTTGTCTTCTGCAATTTCTCTGGGTGGGTTGCGCAACATCCTATATAAGGTCGGGTCTTGACAATGAGATTATGTGTGAGTGTAAGTTGAGTGTATGTAGTGTAGTGTAGTTTGTAAGTAATTGCATTCGAGATTTACATGAAATAACTGCTAACATATGAGGCCGCTAAGATGCCCAGCACAGTGAGGCAGATCAGTATCATGATCTTCTTTCGTCGGGCTTTACTCTGGTACTTGAGCGCCTTCTTGGTGTCCTGAGTTGCCGTCTGCACATAGTCCATAGCGTGCTCCACATGGTACTCAATGCGATCGATCATCTCGCCCTGCGACTCCACCAGCATGGCCATGTCCATGAACATGTCGTGCAGCTCCTTGATCGAAGTCTCCAGCTTCATGATGTCCTGATGCCGGGCCTCGATGTCCGCCAGCGTCTGTTTGGCCTGCTGTGTCTCCATGATGATGCCCTGCGTGAATACGGACGAGTTGCCCTCCTCCAGCATCTTCTCCAGCTCATCATCGTTGGTTGGCCGCCCAGTGATCTCCAGCTGACGCTGTATCCTTCCCTTGCAACGCTCCCGATAATCGGTCTGCGTGCGATTGTATTCGGTCATCACCTCGACGAATTTCCGGGACAATGTCGAGTGCTGGGTCTTTCGGATCCTCAGATCCGCCGATGACTTGTTCTGCTGCTCCTCCTGTTCGATATTCTGCTCGATGCCCTTGAGTTTGCCCCTTACGCGATTGGCATTCTTCTTGATATCGGCCATCAGATCCTCGAGCTCCTGCTTGGTCTTCTCGTCCGTTTGCGGGGCGGACAGGATGGCCGAGTGCTTCTTCTTGACCTCCTCCACGTTGTCCTGCACCTTGTCGATCATGCCGCGAATCTCCTCCACCTGGGCGAAGAAGTCGTCCATGTAGGAATCATGGCCATCCACATTGACGGCCACCTCCGTCTCCTCCTCGTCGTCGGATTGGGCGGCATGGAGAGCGGCTAATCTGTCTTTAGTCATCTTTGTTGTAGGGGGGTTTTTTAAGGGGTTTTTGAAGGGGTTTTCTATGGGATTTTATTGTTTATAGTTTTTTTTTTTACTTCGTTTTTGAAGGTTTGGTTTCCGTAAGCTTTACGTAAGCTTTCGTTGCGCGGTTTTCGCAGATTGCGTTTTTGCGATTAGCAGTTAAACGTTAAACACGCACACACATAAACCACACGTGTAAACGCGCGCGCGGAGTTTTTCCTTTTTGCAGCTTTTTTGCTTTGCTTTTTAACTTGTTTGCACGTTTTTCCCACTTTTGCAAGAGAGACCTTTTATTGATTTTCCGCTTTTGGCTGGCAGCTCTCTCTTTTCGGTTTACTTTTAGTGTATAATTTTAACTTAACTGGCACTTTGGCTGGCGTTTTTTGGTTAATAATATTATGTTGTTTTATTTTTTTGCTTTTTGAGTGTGTGGTGTGGTGTTATTTCGCTCAACGGGGAGAGTGGAAAGAATGAGAGAGGCAAAGAGAGCGCGTGTTGCGGGCGGCGGCAGCGACGTCGACTGCGGCAGAGCACCTCTTCAATGCCAGCAGCTAAAAAGCTAAAGCTGCTGCTGAATTAATTCTTTTTTTTTGTTATTTCTGACTCACTGGTTTTTTTAATAAAAATACAACGTCCATATAATTTTAATCTTTGCCGCTTGTTGTATTTGTTTGTTTCACTTTCGCACTGGCGCACGGCACACACACGGACGCACACACACGCACACGCTGGGGCGATAAACGATTTTCGGCAGTGGGAGAGGCTACCGAAAATCTCTTAAAATGGGCAAAAAAATCGATTTCTGCGCAAAGCTCCAATTCTGCCGTCTGCTTTTGCTGCTGCTTCTTCGTCTTTCTCTGCTTCTGCTTCAGCTTCTTCTTCTTGTTCGCGGGGGGTGTTACGGTGGGCGTTATTTCTCTCCTTTTCGCTTGCGTTTTATTTTCGTTTGTTGCGTACGCGTCGTCGGCGGCGATTCACAGTGTGTGTGTGTGTTGGAGAGGGACGCACGACCACTTTCTCGCTCTAGCACACTGGCTGTCTGGGCTGGCACACGATTTGTTGTTGTCGCCTATTGTTTCACCCGCACATTCTCCGTATTTTTCTGAAGCCAATGTGTGGGCAATATTTTTGCTAATTTTTTCGCGAAAAACAGGAAATTATTTCGCGATCTTTCCCGGCGGCTGAAGGTTTTTGTGTTTTTGAATGCGAGCGAAACGAACGCAGCACCTCGCGCGGGCAAACAATTTTCGAGTATGACCGCAGAGCGACCGTCGGTGTAATACCTTCCGGCTCGCTCAAAAAAACTCAAAAATATACTAAGTGTGTAGAAAAAAATACCGTACATATTGGAAATTCCATGAGTTAGCAAAGTTCTTTACCAGTCCAATTCAGCAAGAGAACTGATTGGAAGCCTTTGATGTTCATGTTTATTTTTAGCTACTTTCAAATCTATTAGTTTAATGTTTTATAATTATAAGTTAGTAATGTTTTTTATTGTGTAAATTGTTCTTATAGAAAAGCAGTAATTATTTTTTAAAGTGCATGAGATATTAGTCAGTACTGAGCGGAGACTCAAACCAGTTCAGCCCTCGCGATTCCAATTGGAAGAGCTCTCACTTTCTCTCTCTTAACATCTCTTGATTTGCTGAACAAGTGTTTATGTGGGTGTATTAGCATGTGGAACGTGTGAAGAGAGCGCGGGCGCTGCTACACTCTATTTGTGTGGTATATGTTATAAATTGGTATTTTAAATTATCAAAACGGAGCAGGATATTATTTAGTATCCTTACATTCATTTTTAAAAAATATGCCTGAAATATTCCTTTTTTTTGGTTTGCACATTTCCTAATATTTCTAAAGTCTGCGCATTAAAAATATATTAGGTTCTTTATGTAATCAAGCTGTATTGTTTAGACCTTTCACCTTCATTTTAACTATTACAATTTTGTAAATAATTATAATTGCAAGTGGTTGTGCTTTTTGTTTTCTCTTTTGCTCGGCATTTTCGTGTTTTCACTTTTGCTGTCAATTACCGCAGAAATGACCCGAAAACGCCTGACGAAATGTGCTAAAAATGCCGGCACATTGCATCCATTACGTCAGCCCCCATCAACAGCAACAACAATCAGCACGGGTTTGTTTGTGGATCCCATTCGAACTGGGAAACGTCATGCGCGAGAGTATTTATGAATGAAACGCAACGCGACCGGCACTTTTGTTTAAGCGAATCGCGAGCTGAAAGGAACTTGCAAATAGGCCGCTAAATGCAATAATATATACGTGTATATGCGGCATTTATAAATAAATACAAAAATTAAGTAATACAGGGTTGTGAGGCCCTGTGAAACGTTGCGCAACACTGGTCAATTTTTAAATTTAAAAATTCCCTTCTTTCCAATAAGAACTTTAACTTAAAATTTTAAATATATAAAGGGGTTTCTTAATTATAATATCACGTTTAATATTTCAAGAAATATCTTTGAAAAAGATTTAAAATTTACTATTCAATCAAAACCTCCTTTTTAGGTGATTTTTAATTGAAAATATTTAGGTTACTTATTAGTTTGAAGAATTTAATAAATAAATATTTAAAAAGCAAATATTATTTAATTTATATAAGAAGATTTTATAATAATATCTATTTGTAGCTTGATCATAAGGTCAATATTAATTCTCGATAAAAGTTTTTATCAAAAATTAAATATTTTTATACGTTAAAAAAGCTTTTATAAAAAAATGGGTCTTATTCAAACAGGAGGCAAAAATATATGATATCCCGGCATGGTTTCCCCTATCAAAGGCTTACTAAAGAATCTCAAAAACTCACCGGATATTTGGTCTGTAGGACGATTCCGCATATCTCGTCGCCGACGAGGAACTGCTCGCCGAGCATCGCCATGCAGACGTTCTCCCAGGCCCTTTCGATCTTGTTCTTGCGCAGCCGTATCACCCACTGGCCGCCCTTGCTGTTCGCCGGGTCCTCCCACATCGGCTTGATGCCCTGCTTGAACAGGCTGAGCTCCCTATACGGCTTCAAGGCGGTGGGCCTGATGAGGTGCGAGTAGAGCGACCACCACTGCTGCACGCTGGCGCACCGGCCGACCACGTGCAGCGACTTGCTGTAGTCGGCGGCCGCCCGCTGCGTCCCCTTGCGGGAGAACCAGAGGCAGTATGTGTGCTGCAGCCGGTTCTCGCCGGGCGCCACCTCCAGCGGCGGCAGCTTGTCCACGTCTATCTCGTTCTCCACATCGCTGTCGTCGCTGTCGACGAGATCTGGCCAGATTTTCCTGAAACGGGTGTGCATTTTGATTAGTATGTCAAGGGAAAGAAATCAAAAATTGAAAATAGGATTCACTAGGTCACCGCACAGTCCACAACTCACTAGCCTTTCTACTCTCTAAGCTAAGAAAAAATGAAGTTATCTATTCGCATGCTGGACCAGCGCACCATTAGTTTGGAAATGCAGGAAACGCAGGATGTGAGGGCTCTCAAGGAGCAACTGGGCAGCCTTCCGGAGGTCTCCTTGCCCGTGGAGAGCCTGCAGCTGATCTACAGTGGCCGCATCATGGAGGATGCCCTGCCCCTCAGCGAATATCGCATAGCGGAGGACAAGTTCATAGTGCTGATGGGCAAGAAGGCAGTCCAGGTGAAGAAGGCGGAGCAGCCGGAGGAGCAGGTGGCGCCCACACCGCCTCAAGAGGTCACCCCTTCTGGTTCCCCCGATGAGCAGCGTGTGCTTGATCTCATGGCCATGGGCTATGGCGAGCAGGAGGTGCGATCTGCTCTCCAGGCCAGCTTCAATCATCCGGAGCGTGCAATTGAGTATCTGATTAGTGGGATTCCTCAGGAGGAACAGGCTCCCGTGGAGCAGGGTCTCCAGCAACTCATGGGGGATCCTCGCGTGGCCCGAGTGCGTGAAATGATACGCGAGAATCCCGAGCTGCTGCAGCTAATCCTGGCCAGGCTGGCCGAAACCGATCCGGCTGCCTACGCGGCGGTTCAGAGTCATCGGGAGGAGTTTGCGGGCATGTTACTTGGTGGCGAAGGTGCTACCTCCGAGGTGGAAGCCCAGGTTCAACTCACAACCGAAGAATTAGCCGCCGTGAAGCGACTGGAGGCACTGGGCTTCCATCGAGTGATGGCCGTGCAGGCTTATTTGGCCTGCGACAAGAACGAGCAGCTGGCCGCGGAGATTCTCTTCCGCCAGTCGGAGGAGCAGGAGGAGCAGGAGGAGCAGGAGGAGCTGCCTCGGGATGAATAAAGCGAGTTGGGCGCACGTAAAGGCAGCCAGAACATAACCTAACAATTGAAGAACCTAAAGTGAAGAAGATGAGCTGTTGGCCCAGTTCTCTTGTTGTTGGAGGGGATTTTTTGGCTGTGGCGGTGGGTGGTGAACGGTGGGCGGTGGGTGGCGCTGCCCACTTACGACTCGTACTGCTTGCTGGCTACTTTCTCCATGCTCATCCTGGCAATGCTGATTCCGCTGATCCTGGATCCTACTAGGTAATTACTGGTGATTCCTTCGGCCGCTGCTTCTACCGCTGCAAGAAGAAGAACCTGTGGATCTCCCGTAGATTCTGTAGATTCTAGTTGCTGCTGCTTCTTCTGGCGCAATTCTTCTTTTGCTCCTTGGTTGCGCGCGTGTGTGTGTGTGTGTGAGTGTGCCGAGCGTGCGTCTGTGTGTGTGTGTGGTTTTGGTGGATTCTCTTGCGGGCGAATTTTTTGGGGCCGCCGCTTCTTGGGGGAGCGGTTCGCTACGGGTCCGCCGCTCTCGCTCTCTCTGGTAAACAATCGTGTGTCCTGTGCCTGATCCTTTGCGGTTTTTATCCAGTGGGTTGCTTATTAAACCCGGCCGTTTCGTTTTGGTTCGCTCGACGTTTTGACGTTTCTTTTTGTACACAACACAACATGCGTCTGATAGGTTCCACTTGCGGTCCACATTCCACGCGGCGCTGTCAATTTATTCATCGATATATTTCATTTTCTTAAATATGCGACGAATCACCCTGTGGGCCTGTTTTTTTTCGAGTTTTTTGGCGCAAAAGTTGAACTGTTTTGAATTTGAATAAGGCAAATGGGGATCATAGGAAATTTGTTGTTTATTTGAATGTAGAACAGATTATAATTATAATTATAATAATAATTAATAACTAATAATAAGTCGAAGCGATACTTTGACGTTAACTAACACTACTTAAATACCCTGGGAAGGAGGGTATATCAGGCTCTACATTATTCGAAACTATTAAGAATAAAATTATTATTATTTTGTTGATTTTAGTTAGTAAATCATGAAGTGTTTTTTTTAAATTTCAATAGATAAATGTTAATTTTTATAAATTTATTTACAAAATTTTTTTAAAAATTAACTGGTATAATTTTCAATATTTTTATATTTTTTCATAATTTTATTGACACAATTATATACTTAAAAAAAACTCTGCCACAAACCCACCCTAACAAGAACCCACCCCAAACCCATAATTTACAGAGTACCCATACGCTTATCGACTTTTTGTCTTCAAAAAACCGTTTGTTTACGTTCTCCTGCGAGCGGTTAAAAAATGGGTAAAAGTGAGAAAAAATCAAAGAAAAAGCACAAGGAAAAGCGGAGGGAGCACAAGGAGAAGCACAAGTCGCGGAAATCCAAGAAGCACAGCCGGAAAAAGGAGGAATCCCCTCCGCCAGCGCCGCCACCTCAGAATGGCACCCAAAATCAGCAGGAGGAGGAGGAGGAGGACTTTGCCATACCAATAGGTCCGTAAGAACACCCCCCTGTATATATAATCAAGGTTTGCTGAACACCCTGCCCACTCTGCCACCCCAAAACTCAAGCACTGATGAACAGCAAGTCGCATGCACCGGAGACTCCCGAGGAGTACCAGCGCCGCCAGAGCCAAATCCGCCGGGAGGTCGATCCGGTCACCGGGCGGGTGCGCCTCATCAAGGGCGACAGCGAGGTGCTGGAGGAGATCGTGACCAAGGAGCGCCACGCGGAGATCAACAAGAAGGCCACCCGCGGCGACGGCGAGTTCTACGAGGCCCGATCTCTGGACGCCGCCAGGCGACGCAAATAGCAAATAACCAAATAAATTCTTGTCTTTGTAGTAATAATTAATAACTGTCAGTTTAATTAAACAAAGGGCTAGCTAGCGATCTATATGTACACGCGAAATCCGTGGAAATTTCTTTGGTGGCGCAGCTAGTACAACTGATGGAAGAAGGTGGTGCTCCCGTCCTGCCAGGCGGGATCGTCGCTGACCTTCGCCCGGCACATCGGGCAGGTCTGCTCGCGCTTGAACCAGGTCTGGACGCACTCATCACAGAAGATGTGGCCGCACTCCAGCACAATGGGCGTGTTGAAGGCGTCATGGCAGATGGGACACAGGGCGCCCGCGGCATCCAGCTCGTCCTTGGTCGGCGGTCGCTCAGAGTCCTTAAAAAATTTATTTTAGCAATGGGAAAATAAGATCTTATTATTAAACACTCTTACAATATTTTTCCTGAAGGTCACAATGGCTTTTTTCAGCGACTTGCCGCGCTCCACCAGCTCGAATATCTTGGCACCCAGATAGAGCGCAGAGAAGAGTCCTCCGGAGACCACCTCCAGACCCGAATAGGACTCGTACAAAAACAGGAACCACTGGCTAATGGGCGTCACTGCCCGGTAGAACTGAGAAGAGTACTCCACCAGCACATAGAGACGGGCCTGGAATGGGAAAACCTCAATATTACTAGGGGAATACCAAAGTAATTTTATATTTTTAATGGTTTCACAGAACTCAATATATGCACAGACAAAAAAAAAAATCGATTTTAAAAAGGGTTATTTCTAACTTATTTCATATCAATTTAAGATCCAAACGTATCAACATGATATTTTATCATATCATAAAAAATACCAAATGTAGTATTTTTAGAGCAAATAATATAAAAAGAGATTAAAATAATCTTTATTCATATCAAAATGATATGAATAGCTTGATCTTTAAAATTAAAATATCAAATTGACCATTACCATTTTTTTTTCTGTGTGCAAAACTGCCTTAATTGTTAACTTAAACGTGATCAGGGAGTTCCCCTCTTTCTGGTTCTGGTTTTTCTCAAAGTAACTTGTTTTTCCTTAGCCTGATAAATAATAAATGATTCATTTCTGTTCATAAGAATTATAAAAATAGTTTATAAATGGGTTCTATAAAAAACTAAAATAATTAAGAGCTATAGATAAGAGAACCTAAAGTTCTAAACCCAGTAAAGCTTAGCCCTAATCTAACTCTGCTTTTCCCCAAGTGCATTATTATCTTCTGGAATGTTTATCGGCCGTCGATCCCTCTAGAAGCGCATTACTCACCCGCACTTTGAGTCGCATCCAGTGGTGCGGCAGCATGGTGATGATGAGTTTGACCAGCATTGTCAGCAGCTTGATGATGAGATCGCTTACGGCAATGTAGTAGAGCAGCATGCCCAGGGGAATCACCTTGAGGGCATCGTAGGCGGCCTTGGAGCCTTTGAGGGTTTCCGTGGGAAAGGCAGTCAGCTGCTGGGCCTCGGAGCTCGTTTGTTGCGACGTGACCGTCGTGAGTTCAAAGTAATTCTTGGGCGGCGGCACAATGAGACCCAGGGGATCGGGTAGCTGAGGCAGGGCCAAAAACAGACGCACTGCGACCACCACCGAAATAAGGCAAGCATCTCGCACCATCACAGCGTAGTTCTTTTGGGCCAGCCGGGCCACCTGGTTGCGCACCGAACGGTTGACATTGTACATCACCGTCTGCAGCACCAGGAGATCCAAAATGCCCAGCAGATGATCGTGTATGAACTTAATGAACAGTATGAAGATCAGCGGCAGATAGCGTACAAAATGGCTGAGGATCTGCACGACCATGTCGTCTGAAATTAGATGTTCGTCGTCGGGTGGATTCTCTGGCGGCTCCGGGGGATTGCCGCCTCCTTGTCCTCCGCCGTTCTCCCCGTTGCCCAGATCCTCGCCCAAATCCAGGCTATCGTTCGGTTCGCGCTCCTCGAAGGCCACCGGATTGCTGTTCAGTCCTATGACGCTGGCATTGTGCCGTCCTCCGTTAAGGCTGTGATTGTGCCGCATCTCTCCCTCGCGCAGCGAGATGCTCCTGCCCATAGGGCCACTTGCTCCACTCGGGCCAGCTGCTCCAGCTCCTCCGCGGCTGAACCGCAGCGGACTAACCGGCTCCGGCACCGAATTCAGCAGTATGTGCGAGTTGTCCACGGGATTGGCGGCTGGCTGGGCTACCGGTGCTCCCGGGGCAGCAGCAGCAGCAGCAGGATTAGCAGGTGGATACCTGAAATTGGAATGTGTAATAAACGAGCGCAGTGCCTCGGTCGACGGAGCCGTGGACAAAGAGAAGACATCGTTGAGATTGACACGCCAGAAGCCCATTTGCCGTACTCCCGGCGCAGTTCCGGGCGATGCTCCTGGCCCACCGGCTGCTGAAGGCTCCTCCAGGCTATGGGCGCCCATGCTGCGCGACTGCTGCAGCCGGCGGTTCATCTGCGTGGTTACGCGCACCGGGGAGCTGCTGGAGTTGCTGGCCGGCGTATAGGATCGCTGACGGGCCAAAAAGGTGGACAGGATGTTGCCGTGGCGGGCAGTGCCGCTCAGGCTGCTGCTCCTTGCCGTGGGCACGTAGCCGTGGTCCAGGTTGATGCTCGTGTTGGCCGATCCCCCGGAGATGCCACCTGCTCCTCCTAATCCTCCTCCGCCCCCTCCAGAGGTCACCGACGACGAGGAGGCGGGCAGCAGGTAGTCGTGCTCCGCCGTCGTCGAGTCATTGTCGTCGCTCTCGATGCTGATGGACACGCCAGCCGATGCACCGCCCTCCTGGGGGCCACCGCCTCCTCCTCCTCCTCCTCCTCCGCCGCCGCGATAGGGATCCTTGTTGTTCATTTTCAACAAAACAACATCCAACAATAACAACAAATCGATTAAGTTATCGGGTTCTTGGAGATTTTTGCCAGGGATTTTCAGTATTTCTTTTAGTATATTTTATTTAATACTATATCCATCGATGTCATGGAAAGGTGGTTTTAATTTAAAATTCCATTGTATAATTAAAAAATATCTTAAGAACCCAACAACATAAGATAACATGTTCCCAATCGAGGTAAGCTTGAATAAAATTAAACATAAAAGTGCAATGTGCAATATGAATATGTTCAAGAACTTTCAGTTACTTTTTAAACGCCATTTTTTTAGAGACATGGACGTGCACAGTACTTTGAGAAGGGGGACCACATTTTTTGTACCCATAAAAATGTACTTTGTTATAGTACATTTACTTACTTGTTACTTATTTGTAATATGATAATAATTTTAAAATTGTTTTTTTATTTTAGTTGTAACCCTTACCCTTTGTATCTTTTCCATAAAAATTACTAAACTACCTCTACATTTTAATGTTTTTTTCATGTTATTAAGAAAAGCATTGGTCTCTCATATAAACATAACTAAATGTGAGTAATACTTTTCGTCATTGCACTTATCTTCATGGGCGAAAATTTCATCAGACATTATGCAAATATAGTCAACAGCTTCTACGTTTGCATTAAATAATTAAGTAATTTAATTTTGTATATATTAATTTGTATTTTTTTTTTTTAATTTAGAAATGTCTCCTTTATCTCAACGTTAAAAATTATTAATTATATTCAGATTCCTGATTATTTAGCTACTAAAATAACCAATTAGAATTAATTTATTTTAATATAACCAAGTTCTTATTATCACGCTTGAATGATAAAGAAAAACGCCTTTCTACCCCATAAATTATGCAAATAATTTTAAATTTCTTCTTTGGCTTTGCGGAGCAGTGCTGTCCACCCTCATAAATGCACTGCGTTGGCCCATTGATAAGGATAATGGAAATGGCTCAGTTACCGCCAACCAACCGCAATTAAGCTGACCCAAAGCCGTTGCCTGGTAACCCGAGGCGTCCACAACAACTGGAAACGTGGCCAAAACCACCACCTTCGATAATTCAGGCACCACCGAAGGACCAAGGACAAACCCTTGCAACCCGCCAGGTCAGTTGAGTTCGTCCATGTAAACAAAGAACAACGGGAGAGTGACTAAAAAGTAACAATATTCAGCCAGATGCAGCTAACAAATGCTATACTAAATTAAATGGGTAAATAAAGTGTATAAAGACAAACCCTTGCCAACCGTCAGGTCATTAAAATGGATCCAAGTAACTACTAAAAACTTAAAAGTGGCTAAAAAGTGACTAAATACTCAATAAAATACATCAAACAAATGCTATACTAAATTAAATGGGTAAATAAAATATAACTTTACCTGCTTAGTTTATAATATAAACAAAATTAATAAATTGAACGATATAAGATGCAGTGAAATAAATCAAAATATTCAAAGAAATAAAAAGAATATCGGACTAATATACCTTATAAATATTTTTAAGGATCGGAATTAATCTATTGCGTTTTTGAAGCCCCAAATGCGTCGCAAGTGCCTGAAAAACAAAACACGCACAAGTAAAAAATTAAGTCAAATGGGCAATTAAAATATAAATATTATTTATTATACAGTATAGTATGGTATATGGTATAAATTCTATATTCTAGCAAGTGCATGTGCATGTGGTGTGCGTGTGTGTGTGTGTGTGCGGTACATGTTTTTTTAACGTGCCTAATCTTCTTTAGATGGATGTTGAACCCCATTGGCGTAAACAAAAAAAAAGAAATAGTATAGAATGCGAAAAGTATACATATATGCTATATAGATTTCTATATATTCCACATATATTATTGATCAGTCTGTGTAATCTCTCTCGCTGGCGTAACGCCTGATGCCAAGATCCCGATGGTTTCAGTAGCTTCAGTAGCTCAGCTCCAGATCCTCCGTTCAATGAACCGGCACCGTGATGCGTGGCGATAAACTTTTGGTTGTCGTGCCGCTGTTGCGATTCCGTCGCTGCAAAAACAGCTTGACGTTCTCTAAAGGCAACTGGAAGTGATAGTAGGCACAATAGGGCAGTGGATCCCAGTAGGCAAAGAGAGCCTCCCGCTTGTCCAGCGCCGTCTTCGAGGTGCTCCTCTCCAGCGCCGACCAGCTCCAGTTGGGCAGCTCGTCCTCGGGGAGTCCCCTTCTATGGATGCACTTCATCGCGCGGCAAAGCAACTGGGCATGCGATCTATTATGGCATATATAGGGCAGGGCCACGCCCAGTCGGCTGCCGAGCGGTACAAACTGACCCCCGTGGGCGGGACTCTTGACCAGCCGGAAGGATATGTGTCCATTTACGGGCCTCTGGAATCGCACCTTGGCGAAAAAGGATCGCAACCATAGTTCTATCTGCGCCTCATCATCTCGAGGCACAGGGATTAGGTTCTTTGTGTGATGCTCCACCCGGCAACTTACATTGGCCACCACCCGCGAATCCTTGACCGTCGTGCAGGTCACATAGTGATGATAGCCCGGCTGATCCCTGACCACCAACCAGGGTTGCCTGTCGCTAATCTCATGCTGGTTCAGTTTCAATTCCGCCCTCCTATTGGGCAATATGTACTTGTGCCGCTCCAGGACTCCCTGCATCCCAGCGGCCATCAGGATGTTCCGATAGCTGCCCACAAAGCCGCTCTCGTAGATCTGCTGAAGCTGCCGGGGAGCAGTTAAAACCACATGGGCAGGCAAAGCCATCTGTTGCTGTTCGCAGCGCTGGAAGAGCTGCAGGCAGTCGTCCAGCTGGAGGGTCTCCTGTACTCCTGGGATAAAGCTGGCGCAGCCCAAAACCTCCAAATGCGGCCTGGCCAGGGAATCATAGTAAGCGGGACTGGTGGCACAAACGGGTATATAAACCGAGGGTCGCTCCTTCTTCACAATGTGACACAAGGCGGCTATGTACTGATCGGGATTACTAGAAGTGGGCCTCGGCACCACATAGAACTTATCCACCGCCGTTGAAAACCTGGCCAATCCAAACAGACCCTCAAATTCAAAGACCACCACTCGAGCACCGGATCCATAGAAGTTCCTGGCCAAATGAAGCGTCTGTATGGTGCTGCCGCAACTGAGGAGTATGGTCTTCTGCCGCTGCACTGCACCCAGTTCCTCCTCGCCACTCAGTAGCCACTTGACCAGGGCAATGGGCACTCTCAAGAGTTTCCAGAAGATCCAGAGCAGCGCCGAAAGCCAGAAGCTAGGTGCCGCAATGGACAAGGGTATATAGAGCACATATCTCAGGATGGTAAGAACCAATCTCATCAGCAATTGGGGTCCAAAGAGCAGCACTCGAGTTCCCAGATTCGCTTGCAGAGGCGTCTGCGTCTGGAATTGACTCCTAAGAAGACTCCCATCCGCAGTTCTCTGCCTTCTCAGGGTCACAAAATGTTTATGGGGCGTCTGCGAGTCCTTATCCTCCTCCTCCTCCGACTGACTGGGATGCTCCGGTATCAAATCCAGCGAGTTGATCCGCCGGAACTTGGAGCGCGAGGCCTGACGCAGCTGGCGGGCGTGCTCCTGGCGCAACAGCAGGTCGTCCAGGGTCTGGGACATCTTCACTCGCGATTCGCGTATTCCGTACTATATTATATTATCTCCGTATTCTTCCGTAATCTTCGATTATCGCTGCCGTGCTGCTGCTGGCAAAATCCGAACTGTGACTAAAGCGCGTTTTAAATAGGAGCTATACTTTAAACCTATGGGATGCAGTCGCGCCGAGCGTTGATAACCCACCCCAGACACATGTCCATCGCCTGGGATCAACCGAATGCGAGTCCAATCCCTGTCTATACCTATGCACTGCTAGAAAAGTGTGAGAAAACTCCTCGAAATAATCGTTATGATAAGGTATGTCTTTATCGCACTACTGATTGGTTTAATTGCACTACTTTTATTGGCACTGGAAATAGACTTTGGCGACAGGCACTCATATTTTTTAAGAACTTATAAATAGCACTATCAGGCTCAGACACTACGAAACCTTAAGGTTTAAAGTACAGACATGTTTCCTAATAGTGACCTTAAATTCGATGACTTGCAGTTCATTCTGGTAGGTCAGTAATTTTCTTGTCTATGCTGGTGGGCTTATCAAAAAATATGGTATGGTTGCCATGCTGGAACTCAAGGTATCAAGAAAAGTAAATTATAATAATTAAGTTGGTATTATGATTGGATTTATTTGGGGTTTCTTTTAAAAACAATACCTTTTTCGAGTAAATTTCTAGACTATATCATATGGGCACTTCCAAAAAAAAGTCCACCAAGCCAAAAACCTTGAAACTTGAATAAAACATATTTCCACATGATTTTGCCCCGATATTAGTTTCTAATTAGTTGGATACTGAGCTTAACTACAAATTTGGAGTATAGTTTGATTATTTTTATGACAAACCCCACCAATATACGCAAAAATCAGTTTTTGGCTATTTTTTTGTTATTTTTTTGACCTGTCTTCTGTTGTAAATTTATCCTATAGGAATGCTAATATGTGACATTTTTCTGTACTGAATGCTTCATTCACATGCTAAACTATTAAGTTAAAAGCAAAACATCCAGCAATTGAGAGATAGAGGTCAAGAAATCCGCTTTACAAAACAGTCGGAAAAAATGTCCCGAGCGACATGTCCCGAGCGAATGTGGTTGAAACTGCATAAAAAAAAAACGGCAAAGAATTTTTGAGTAAAACCAAAAGCATTTCACAGCGACATATTTGAACAACATTCTAAAAAAAATCGCATTCAAATATTCCATCAGAATTTGCTAATTTCTGGTGTTGTATGAACTTCCCCGAAATCCACTTCTATTTTTGTCCCGAGCGAATACGGCAGTTTTTTACCGATATCTTAAAAACTAAATGTGGTACAAAATCAAGATTTTTACCAAAAATAGAGCTTGGGAAGAGTGAAAAGAAAAGCCCATAATTAAAATTAAAATCCATTGTTTTACAATTTTTTTTCAACTTTAAAGGTGTGCAAATGTCCCGAGCGACATTTTGGAAGTGCCCATATATTTTATTAAAATACATTGGTTTTCTACATTTTATAGTGATACCCTTAACAAATCAAGATTAGTTGGATAGATAGTGATTATAAATCACCGCTGATGTAATAAAAGATGATGAAACTCTCTCAGTGTAGCGGTAATTATAAATGATCAGCCGAACAGTGTGTGTGAACGTGATGTTTATTGTCGCCAACTCTCGGGATGATCTATACGCTCTCCTCCGTTCGTCGCTGATCTTTGGCGATGATCGGGTATAAATCATCGCCAGAGATTGAAGGTTCCATCCCAGTGGCGCCCGTTGTCAAGAGAGGGGAAATCTCCCCGAGAACCGAAGATCTTTTCGCCAGAGTTCGGAAAAAAGCTCGATCGATCCATGGTGGAACTATACAAGGTGGTCTCGTCGCGAGAGCTGCCCTCTTTTGAGGACGTTATTTGTGTCAGTCTCTATTTAGCTATCTCATTCTATCGCCTAAGAGAGACAGAGAGGTAAACATATTTAACGTCCTCAGCAGAGCTGACGAGACCACCTTGTATTGTTCCACCATGGATCGATCGATCGCATTGCAATGCAGGTTCCCGGCAGATCAGATCCAGATTTGTGGTCAATGGGACTTTGCTCTGGCCACACACACACACACACACTCGCAAGGTATTCAATCCCATTTCTGGTGATAAGGGGGCTCTACTATATGAACCCGATAGCCCGGGCAAACTTATGCTTGGAAATAATCTCACACCTACACATAGTATAGACCTTATGGCATCGGGCCGAGATTAACTGAAACGACTGGAAACTGAAAGTGAAGCAAACAAACACCTTAATGGCGAATGCATAACCAATCTTCGGACTTTGAGAGTCTACACAGTACACATAGTGGTCGCGAGTCTGACTTCTGATTTCTGTATTTCGACATCTGTACACGAGTTTAATGGAAATAATAGAAATAATAATTCTGTGTACCTGGCACTTTGATATCTCCCCAAGGTCGCTTTTCAGGTTCAAAACGCCTGCTGATAAGGCTGCTCGAATTCAATATATTTAAATTCAGCTCTCGGCATTTTTTCTGGCATTTTTTCGTCGTCGTCGCTTAGCCATAGAAATAGCTGTCTCACCTATGTACTACCTACACTTTATTTATATGGCGTTGCGGTGTGGGTTGCATGAGTATGCAGTTCTCTGATATGAACGATGGCGATAACCCCGAAAGTCCTCAATCGCAATAGAATTCGCAACCTGTGCCAGGAAACATTTTGACATTTGCCTTTAGCGGGGCATTACGTGGATGGAGATAATGCAAAACAGATTCGCACATTTTGGGTTTGTAAAGTGGGAGACTTAAGATGGGTTATGAAATACCACATCATACTATACTATGGGATATACTATAAAATTCTGTATTTTTTGTTGGCAATAAATCTTACAAATGTTAAGGGGAATGTTGTAAAAAAACCTTTTAAAAATCCTAATAATATTTCCTTTAGTAGTATTTTAACAGATCTTTCTCTCCTTCAAGAGTTATGACAATTTATTTGAAATAGTTCTTAAAATAAAAATGAAGAAATATTGTATGATCTTGTATTTTTATAAAACTGTAGAATTTTTCAAATTATTTTATAGATCATCTTTTTATTGTGGAACCTTTAAAAGTAACCATTTTTTTTTAAGCTAGTAATAACTATTTTTGTCCTCTTTGGCCTGGCAAATGTTTAGCATAATAACCGTATCCAAGGGTTCAACTATTCATAGAATCTCATTTATATTCACCGCAAATAAATCAAGAAAAGGGTTAATCGCATCGACAGGGTCTACCGTACATTCTCAATTTATTACCCCGCTAGTTGACTTATTAAAAGCAGTTAGGCATGAAGCATGTGACTAGGAAAGGACTAACCACCCACCACCCATAGTTAGAGAATATGCAGCTATACCTTTAGCTATATACCCCATCGATATATCGCCCCGATTTGACCGACCGCATTCGGAATATGCTTCGAGACACGATTTGCATTTGTTGCTCGCTCGCACGCCAAACATAATTGTGAGCTCCTCTTTCCGTAATCAATTGCGGTTGCCGGTGGTAACCAGGAATTTGTTAATTCAATGTTTACTCTGCCCCCATGGAAGTTGTAGTCCCCAGACGAAGCAGACCCTAATGGCGGTTAGTTCGAAAAGGGAATCCTCAGTTCTTCCTCCTTGCGAAAAGTTTCCTGGCCGCTCAGTTGGCTTAGTTCCGCGGGCCCAGACAGTTCGATTCCTATTCGTATTCCCAGGCCCAAAACCAACCAGTTAGTTAGGCCCTCAGTCTGATTAACTTTCCCTCCCGAGGAGCTTTGGTTGCGTTAGTGCTTCCGCATTCCGCAAATTTGTGTCAATTGCCACCAGGCAGGACACGTTGGGAAACGCAAAGGAGGCCTCGAGCCCCAGGATTCCGTGATAACTTGATGAGTATTCAATTGGAGCTCAATCAGTTAACAACAGTGTCTAGTGCGCGCTCTTAATTTGGACTAAAAATAAAACGAAATAAAGGAAAGTGCTTGAAAACCTGAAATAAAGGATTTAAGTGGGATTATACGGCAGCCATATAAATTGCCAGTGAGATGTAAGTTTTAGATTGCTGTTAAAATAATCCAACCAAATAAACTTCAAACTTAAAATAAGAAATGAGGCAATGCTTAAAAAAAGCATATTGAATCTGAAATAAAAGCCTCTAACTGACATATAATTTGAAAAAGGAAACACGGTAAATTTTACTAAATAAATTAAAAGTAGATTTTTTAATGGATTAAGTTTTTTCAAATTTAATTCAATTAAGTTTACCATGTTAAAAAACAAACAGAATTCTTTATACTTTTTTTTTCAAATATTTTTCAAAGCTATAACTCAAAATATTCCTAAAATAATATAATAATCTCTAAATGGGTCTTTGAATAAAGATTAGCTTTGGAATATTAATATAGTAATCTTTTTTTTATCCCTAAAAATTTTGTTTCTTTCCTATTGAAGTCATCTTTAGCCTAGTCTCACCAATTGATTGATTCTCAATTCTATTCCGATCCCCCACTCTCCTCATATAAACGAGAATTACGACCTCCATTTGACTGAGCCCCCGGTGATAGTAAATCAGGAACTAAAATAGAAAGTACAAGATTGCATGCCAAATCATAGTCGCACTATCAAGGATATTATTATTATATTTTTATGGTTTGCATAAGCAGAAATGGCGATGGGTGGGATTGGGTGGACATGGACAGCATAAGGAGCTCAAAATTAGAAGACGCATTCGTGTCAAAGGAAGTTTCAACAACGGCGGAAATGTTGTTTATTAAATAAATACGAGGACAAGGGAATTATTATGACTTTGGGGGGAGGAGTTGGAAGTTGGATTCGAGGAGCATGGGGGTGGTAAACACAAACACTTGCTGTCCTGGTGACAGACTGTGCAATGCGTGTCGTCCGCGGGCCCAAAAACAATTTCCTCAAGTGGGCCCCCAAAAATATCATTCGAAAGTATGGACGTAGCTGAAAGAAATCCAGCCATTTCGACTGGGGATCCTTGGATCCTTGGACGATAATGAACAGAGGGC